TTTCGCGCAAGCGAGCGAGCCAACGTAGATCGAAATAAAGCGATAAAACCTGGGGCTCGATCTTAATACACGAGTCGCGATCAAACCGGGAGGCGAACGTGCGAGCGAGCCTGTGGTTCTCCGCCGACAAAAGAGTCCAAGTGCAGAATGGACAAGGCGGTTTCTATCAGGGCGTCGTTTGTCGTGGCAGCTGGCGAACAGGTGTGTGTGTGTGTGTATATTCGTTCCTTTGGCTGGCAGACCTCTAGGTCGTCAGCTGTTCCGCTTCTAAGCCGACCACTAAGCTGCTACGACGCGCGCGGAACGACCGTTACGTACCTATACAGGTATGGTTCCTCTCGCTGGTGTTCGACACCAAAATGATGCCGCCTCGTAGAAACCGGCGTCCCCGTGGTACCGATTCCTTCGTCGATCGGACATAGAAAAACCGTGACATTCAGAGGACAGCGTTCAGTCCAGGAAAAAGAAACATTAGTTAATGAGATTAACCCTGCTATTCTCCTAAGGTCTATGCGACCCTGAAGATTATATTTATATTATACGTTTTTAAATGTTTGTTTTTAATATTCAGCGCACGTTTATAAACGCAGCGCAAAATACTTTTTCGATGGTGTCGTTTAATGCTTCGGCGGTCTGACCAGCGAGTGAATCATTCCCCTTCAAGATCACCAGAAGATGGGTAATCTATTCTTGCTGGTATAATAATTCTGTAGCGAGACCTCTATTGATCTCGCCTGGTGTCATTCGTTTCGGAGAATTCTATTCTTATAGAAAATTCCAAAGGGTCTACCTCCCCTGTTTTTCCTAGCAACAAACAGGAACAACAGTCGATACATTATACACGAGACATAATGTGTACAACGTCTCGCGGCTATAAGGCTTCCAGTGAACGATGCCAGTACGCGTCACGCGAGAGCAACGACGCGTAAATGGATCGGCGTTTCGGTATCATTGAACGCAATTGACAACTGGATGACTGGCGTGTGCAGTGCCGGTTGGCAACTGGTTAAAGCCTGGCGGTACCGTGTCCCGCGATTTACGCTTCTCCTGGACGATGTTTGATCGATCTGCCTCGTTACGTTTCCACGCCGATGAACCCACCTTATCCCAGGGTAACCACCCTGAAGAGCACCACCTGTGCTCTCCGTTCGTCGAGTGCCTCGTCGTCGATACATATTCTAACGAGAACTTTGTGTTTTCATGTGTATTAGGTCGTTTTTCGTCGATACGGGGAAAGAAGCTCGTTTCTTCGATCCTGTTCGGTCCTCCAGGGATGTAATTTCCTTTAACGGATCAATTGGGGAAAAAATTACTGGATTCCCATCTAAAACTGAAAGATTCACGAGGCTTTCGTGGATCCGCTAAGAGGGTCGAGAGTAGCTTCCGCCGCGAATCAGCGGATTGATGGATCGATCATTGGGAACACGGCTCGTAGTTGTCGATTGTGAACTTTCCCGATTAGATTCCCATCGAGATAGAGAGAGAGAGAGAGAGAGAGGGAACTTTCGCTTTTATCTTTTATTCGTTACTCGAGATTCTTTCTCTAGCTAATGAATTTGTCCATTTCTGAGAGAGACGAGTCTCTGTTCGATCTTCGATAATACAGTTCCCTTCGACGTCTTCTGTAATTTTTGGCAAAAATCCTGGATCTGAAGGAACATTGCTTTTAGCTCGTGTCGTGGGGTCCGATAAACCTGTTAATCCGGTGAAAACAGGTGAAACGTGGCCCAATTCGGACGAGCACCAGTTCCCGGGGTGTTGCACCGACGTCGGAATTTTCCCAGAGCAATTTTTAGTCGGGTCTATTTCTCCAGGGTAGGGGCACGTCGGTGTGTCTCTCTTTCTCTGTCTCTCCCTCGTCGGCGAGTGTCGGTGTTAGAGGGTGGCCAGGGAGGGGTTGGGGAGGACGACCAGGGGGGGACGTTGCTGGATTTGGGGGTTGGTCTCGTGTCGAGGTGGGGCAAAGGTGACCCCCGCGGATCAATACCGCCGCTGCCGGTTGGGCGCCACTCCACCATGCTCGAACGAGCGACCGGCGGTGGTGCCTCTCGTATTTCCTCTCGAAATTGAATGCCATTCGATCCAGACGCCTCGAGGAAATCATCTTTCGGTTGCACCGTACCTACTCACTGGCCTCGTAAAAAGAATTTCAGCCCGATCTCTGTTCTGTCTCCAGTGCTCTACGATCTATGCAGTCGTTCGATCGGGACTATAAGAATAATTCGTGCAGCATTTTGATATTCGTCGAAATAAATTCGCGTGAGCCTTCGAGCGGGAACAGTCGTCATCCAAGACTCGATAGGATGAATAAAGGGGAGGGAACTTCCTTTCCAATTCCGTTTCATTGTTCTTCCATCGAAGCGACAAGCGTACAGTTTGCGCCGTACGGTTTTCCGGCGCGTTTTCACGACACGCGAAAGTAGTTCGGCTGTGCGAGCGACCGTAACGGGGGCGAGCGCGTTAAACCGGTGGGCCTCGATGGACGACGATGACGCAACGAAGACGCCGACCGATTACACGACCGCACTACTTTCTCCCGTTCCGGGGAACCGTGTAATATTGTTCGGGATTAGTCGGTCTCTGACTAACGGGGATAAACACCATTTAATGGCGAGTGTTTGCGAGCGGCGCAACAACCGTGACGACTTGTTGTTTAGAATCGTGTGGGGTGGGGGGTTTGCTCGACTCCTTCGTGGCGGAAAATTAAATTCGCAATTTCTCGACCGCGTTTCCGGTCTTTCCGCGGGAACCACGGCATCGTACTAATACCTTGCTCGTATTTCATCTCACGATAATCAATTAGTTAAAAATGTTTCGATAAATTAGAACGAAATGAATCAGTGTCTCAACGAATGAGAATTAACAGAAGGGTTGGACAACTCGTAGAATTTCCGTTTACGAAGAGATTCCCAGCGTCGTTCGAGCTGTTTCCTCGCAAATTTTCACCCCGCGGATTTTTTACCGATCGTAATAATCTCGGGCATAACCGAAACCGACCGGATCCAGGATGTCAGTGTCCGGTGTTCGTGGCCGGAAGCGAGCCGTGGCGAACGGATACGAACGAGTCACGGGTGGCGTTAGCGCGCCAGAGCGAGAGGAGGAGGGGGGGTTACGTCACGACGACGGTCGACGGAAGTGTGACCAGCTGGAAAACATCGTAGCGACCTCAGGCGGCGGCCTATCGACTGTCTTGTTTTGTTTTTTTCTTGTTTTCCCGTGTTCGCGGGTTCACGACGTCGTTTGTTACTTCGTCCTACGTGTCGTGTCGCATTAACCATGCAACTGGTCAGAGCCGACGTGGAAAAATGTTGCTGCCTTTTCTGGGCAGCATGTCTCGACGATTCGTCGACGATACACCAATTCGATGATGAGGCGCGTCGCAGACGGTTTGAGGTCGATCTAAAGTGAGCAATTACCCATCCATCCTGTACCGAAAACGGTTAATCGAGCCCGTTAATTGCGGAAAACGATCGTGTTTCAGTTAACCTTTAATCGGACACGATTTCTCTGTTCGATATCGAGGGTGGATCTTCCTAAGGGGTGAAGTGAATTTATGTTCAAGTAACAGACGATGATAATAGACGGCGCATAAACGAAGCAGGGGGACTTTACACTCCGCGTTGGCTGATTTGTCGAAATCAGACCTTTCCGGCTGCGACCACCTGATAAAACCGCGCGCGTCGTTCCTCGCCGTTATCGGGAAGCCCGTCACCGCAATTTCGCAGACCTCGAAGTTCACGGGTAAAGAAAGAATTCTGTTCTCGAAGTTATTTTATCGCGAGCTCACGCGGCCGACCGTGGAATAATCGCGGTCGGACGGGTAATTTTCCGAAATTGAATTATCGTTGAAACGCCTCTCGTTCCCGCAGCCAAACAGCGGCTGATTTAATCTTGAAATTGAACCGTTCCATGTAACCGACACTTAAGTCCACGCGCGGGAAAAATTGTAACGGGGGACCGAGATCGACTGAAATTTCCCTCGTAGATTTGTCTCGTGAATTCTGTTGGGATCGATCATAATTTAAAACGATGGAAAACACGTGAGGAGGTGGGCGGGGTGGCAAGGCCTGTTTACAAGACACGACGAAGCATTTTTCCTCGTGTCCTGCGCGACAAACGACGTCGCATTTCCACAGCTGGCGGAAGGGGGGCCTGTTTATGCACGACATCAAACCCGGACAGTACGAGCTCCGGAACCACCGATTCGACGACCGTGAACACGATACGAAATTTATCACGATATTATTCGACACGATCGAGCCGGTGATAAATATAGCGAGAGACATACAACAACACGAGCGGAATTTAACCGTCGCGAATTTGTTCCGATATACCCATACCATGCCGAGCATGCCTGTCCCGCGTCACCCTGCGCGTAATCGCGATTTTCCACGGTCCTCGAATATTTTCCGAGCGCGCGCGAGCGCATAATCGTTGTCGGGCCGCGCATAGTTTCGAAATTCTGCGGATGCCCCGTATAACTTTGTCACTTGAACCGAACGCTTACGGTTACGAAGTTAAACCGATCACTCAGCGTGGTGCCCTGTAATCGAAAGCGAGCAGCTCTCGAATTCGATTAAATCACAGTATCGTTTAGTAACCCATTCAACCCTCAATTATTTATGGACCACATAGAATCTTCCGCTACTCATCTAAGACACCAGGTCTCATCTCTTATTACTGAAACTACTGAGCAAGGCTCTGTTTCGACGATTCTGGTAACCACTCGGACCTCCCATTCTACAAACTGGGCCCAAGTTCATCGAAACGAACCCTGTCGTTTAAAGGCCCCGTTCGTATAAACGGAGGCCCGGAAAACGTAGTGGCTCTCGGTCGACCCCGGTTAAAACCTGTGTGTGGGAGTACTGTCTCCCCCGCGAAAAATCGATGCACGTTGTGCTCCCTCCTCCCTTTTCCTACACACACACACACACCCACACCATGGTGAACGAGGACAAATTAAACTAATCAGGTTTTCCCACTGTGTGTTCGCATTGCAGGTACAAAGCGAATCATTGCGTGAGCGGGGGCGGTAGCCGCGGAAACGGCGCGACTGGCGGTACCGGAGGCGGTCTAGGTAGCGGAGGCGGAGGCGGCGGCCGCGGGGGCGGCGGGGGTGGGAGCCCCGGCAGGGGCGGCGGCGGCGGAGGAGGAGGCGGCGGCGTTGGAGGCGGAGGAGGAGGAGGAGGAGGAATAGACGGTGGCGCGGTGCCCGCTGCACCACCGACCACCGGCCGTCACCACCACCACCACCACCACCATCATCACCATTATCACCGCCTCGTCACCACGACCACCACGACCACCACCACCACCACCACCACCACCACCGGCGGCACCAGGCACCACAAGTACAAGCTGCCCGCTGGCAAGCTGTGCAACGAACACCGTCACCACTCGCATCATCACCGGCATCACCCACACCATCGCTCCCACCATCGGGGCATGAACATGGGCCAAAAAGTTTCAGGTCAGGACCCATTTTTTCCCATATCACGCGATATAGGTACTACCCTACGATACTACCGATTTCGATCCACCCTCTGGGAGTGAATAACGATGGTAGACGCTCTCTCTCTCTCTCTCTCTCTCTCTCCTTCGTGATGATGATGATGCTGACGATGATGATGATACATATACAAATTGTGTGTGTGTGTGTATCGTCACGATGTGGGAGATTCTGTTTTTTTGGGGGCGGAGGAAGATATGCAGAACTGCTGGGGTGTATTGAACCGATACCACGCGTGGAAGGAGGGTAATGTGTCTGGGATGGGTGTCGTTTTCGTGACATCGAGATATTGCACGTAGTAGGAGGGAAGGGGGTGGTTCTCGAGGAACGCGTTGTTTCAGTTCTCGCGGTGGGTTTTCGGTAAATTGGAGCAGACGTGGTTTGTGCCCCCCTTCGCGCGAGAACGACTCGTCGCGCGCCCTGTGTTCTCGAGTTTGTCGCTTTGTACGGGGAGGAAACCTGGCGGAATGTTGGGTTAATTGGTCTGTAGGCGAAGTTGCTTACTACGTCTGGGTCCACGGGACGAGTGTTGTAATTGCGATGGAGCCTCGCGCGAGAGAATATTTTTTGAGGAAATATTTGTCACGGTCGACAGTTACTTCTTCGGGTGATCGATGCGTAGAAGGAGGAATGTGGGTTAAGGGAGCTGTTGAATCATTCCACGTGATTAAATACGAAAGTGAAATTTTTGTAGAAGATACGTGACCAAAGGAGGACGAATCTTCTTAACCTTTTGCCTGTGTAAACTTGCAATAGTATTTATTTTGTTCTCGGGGATCTAGTAATAGTAACGTATTTCTGAAGACTGTAGACGTCAAGAGAATCTTAAGTCAAGGGGTTAACGAATCTCGTGTTCCTTTTAACGTTGAACCCGCGGACACGATTGTAAATTCCACTAGTAGAACGAACGCTCATAGGGGCGGCCATGCTGCGAAAGGAACTTTCGACGTCGACTCACCTCGGCCCCCGGGGGCCTCGACCAGGGTCAAGGCCTCTGACCGCTCTCGATTTTACCTACCTGCTCTCAGGTAGAAGCCCACGAACAGGTCCTTCGGAGCGAGACTATCCCTCTGGCAAGAAACGTACCATAAAGCATGCAGGTTGAAGCGAAAGTTCTCTTCGTTCGTGTTCCTTCTCGCGGCTCTTTTAAACCGGCACGAATTTACATAAGTGAAAAAACTATTTAGTCACCGTTCCAATTAACCTTTCAATAAATTCTCCGAATAACAGGGCCCATAGAAATTCTGTTTGCTCGCGGTTTAAAAAAGTGAAAGGATGAAAGAATGGAACTAGAACTTCTGCTTCTTCGTATTCGTCGGAACCACCGACAAGTTTCTCCGTTCTATCTGCCTAGAGGAGAATTTATTCGTTCGACTCTGTTTGATCTGTTAATTCGGTAGCTTCTAGTTCCTCTGAGATTTGCATAGTTACGTCGGAATGTAATAGATTTGGAAACAGGCGTTCGTTCGGACAGTCGTTGTAATAGGTAGCTAATCATTTACCTACGCGAAGTTACAACGCGTAATGGAGCCGACCAAAGCGTGGCGTAACAGGTTCCCTGACCAATTAGTTAGCCAGTGATTCCCATTAAAACGTTCACGATCCACCGGCAGGTCCGCAAGAAAGATAGAAAAAAACGATGGTAACGCCGCGATAAATCACACACACACACACACACACACCCCACTGTTAGATCCTACTCCGCGGCTCTCCTCCACTGTCGTGATTTACGCTGGCCGGTTTGACCGTTTCCGGAAATCGATTCCGCCGCCTGGATGGCGGGAGATCGTGTAACGACACCTTCTGCTTCGGGGGGCTGAGCTCGGTGGTTGTCTTTTATCGGGAAATTTGTCGCCCTACACCACAGCCAATTCGCAGTCTCAGCTGCAACGATGAAAATTTACGACGTGGGGGCTATCGAAGAAAAAAAAAAGAAAAACAAAAGAAAAGGGACCGAATTTTGGAGGAACGATCGCCGGACAACGTCGAAAAAAGCCACTGTCGAGCCCAGAAGAGAGGCGCTCGGCAGGGTCGGCCGACCGTCCGACCGGATACACACAGAGAGGGCCGTGAAAGGACCTTTCTATTAGTGCCCCTCGGCTTTTCGGGCAAGAGGTAGTGGTGCAGACCCTTTGAAATCCTCACGGACCTTTCCAGAACCCTCGTTTCAGAACCCTCTGGAACGTTGGCGGGGGAACAGCTGCTAGAGCAAATAAACCCAGCATCCAAGGATATCGTTCGGTGTGTTCGACCCTAAACCGAGGAAAGAGAGACAGAGAGGGTGAGAGACGGCAGCAGCAGCAGCAACCTTCGAAAACCTTAAACGAAGCAGCCTGCTGCGCCCACCGCCGTCGAACGGACGGACGGACCCGACCGACCCTTCATTATTTTTCTTCCACTCTTTTTTTCCCTCGTTCCACGGCAAAATCTCCGTGGTTCGAACGCGCCGCTGGCAGGTATTCGACCGCAGGATGAATCCCACAGACGCGTCTTGAATTATTAACGACCATGTGGAAATTCCACCCCGAGCGAGAATACCAAGAGCGGAGAGAGAGAGAGAGAGTACCGTGCCCTGCTGGCTGATCCATCCGTGGATCGCGCATAGAATTTCCAACTTTTACATCCCCTCTTCCCCCGAATTCGCGAAACGTCAAGGAGAGTCGCGGCTAGGGGCCATCCACAGCCTTGAAGTTCACCAGGATTCTTCTGTGGTTTCTCCGTTAAAAGGCCCGCCGTATCCAGAAATGTTTACTGTCATGCTGAGAACTGAGATTTTGCCTGTGTGTTCTCTAGTGTCCCGCACACCAACTTCTCAGCCCCCCTCTGCATGATATGCCTAAGATATCAGGGAACGGATGTGTAATCGATTCGCGGACCGACGAAAACTGATCTTTTCCTCTTCGCAGGCGGCGTGAAGAGCGTGACGCGCGAGAGCGGAGCTGGAACGGGCAACGCAATCGGCGCCGGTGCCGGCGGCGGCACCGTGGCGTACAAACCGGTGGTACCCAGGGAGCTGGCGCAAGACTTCTCGAGGCCGGCACGCCTCGATGTACTACTCGACATGCCACCCGCCTCGCGGGAGACCCAGGTCCATCACAGCTGGAACGCTGACGACCGTAGTTTGAACATATTCGTCAAGGTACGCTATCGACGAAAGGGGGCTCCGATCGGACCCCTCGTCTACTTGTATGTGTGTAACTTTTTCCAATAATGCTTCTTCTCTTGCTGCTTAATCGTCCATTGGAATCTGTTCGAAATACCGTATGAAACTGGTGTAAAGACGCCTGGTTCTTATTCCAAAACCGAAATCGTGTCAATGTCTGTCCCTCTACGATTGTATACGCGCTATTTGGAGCGTGATCGCGTTCAAGTGAGAGTTAAAACTCTTCTTCGAAGGTTAATATGTTATGCGAGGAGTGTGTTTCTGACAGCTGGAGATATTTAGCTTCCGACAAGTATATTTAGTACCGCAGAGGGCCTGACACTGACACGATTCGCACACCAGGGTGGTTGATTGGTGTGCGCAGTTTCGAATAAGATCGCTGAAACGATGGTTTGTCAACGCGCGCGCGTCGGCATTATTCCAATCACAGTTCTGTCTTCCGGTTTCGCAGGAAGACGATAAGTTGACGTTTCACCGACATCCCGTGGCGCAGAGCACGGATTGCATCAGGGGGAAAATCGGATACACGAAGGGCATGCACGTGTGGGAGTTGTACTGGAGCACGAGGCAACGGGGCACGCACGCCGTAGTTGGTGTCGCGACAGCGGACGCGCCTCTTCACAGTGTCGGTTACCAGAGTTTGGTTGGCAACAACGAGCTCAGTTGGGGCTGGGATCTTGGCAGGAATAAGCTGCTTCACGACTCGAAGAACAATAACGGTTTCACGTATCCAGCCCTTCTCAAACCGGACGAAACGTTCATCGTTCCTGACAAATTCCTCGGTGAGGCTTGCAAAAATCTCTCTTCCTTTCCGTCTCTCTTTGATACATTATGCGAATGAGTGGTGTATCCCCGAGACTGAGTCGAATTTATAACATATTTTTGTCGATGACGTTCACAGTGGTCCTGGACATGGACGAAGGTACGTTAGCTTTCGTCGTGGACGGACAGTACCTTGGTATCGCGTTCAGAGGCCTTAAAGGCAGGAAGCTGCATCCTATTGTGTCCGCTGTATGGGGACACTGCGAGATCACGATGAAATACATCGGTGGACTTGATCGTGAGTATATAAGTCGAGTTCTTAATCGAAGTAGTCTTTCTATACTGTTGTTACGCTTAGAGCCAAGCTAGGTTCAGCGTGGGCGTTCATTACTGACGCGAACATCGTTTATATTCCAGCCGAGCCATTGCCCCTCATGGACCTCTGTCGAAGAGTAATCCGCCAACGGATCGGCAAGCACAGGCTAGAAGAGAAAATACAGTTGCTGAACCTGCCGCAGGCGATGAAGACTTATCTCTTATATCGGGACAGGAGATAACAATCGAGTGGTCCCAGTGAAAACGCCACCACGATTACGACTGTGAACACGCAACACAGTGTAAGCCGCGTGCGCGTTCTATGGCGTTTGAATCCGTGTCAGGATAGGACGAGACGAGTACGACCGTGGTCGTCGTCGGCGTCTTCCTCATCATGCTCATCATCATCTTCCTCGTCATCTTCCTCATCATCCTCATCGTCGTCCTCCACATCCTCCTCATCGTCGTCCTCCACATCCTCTTCATCATCCTCATCCCGTTAGCTTATGGTCTCCACCGCGTCCCTCGCTGTCAAACTTCATTGTCGCCTTTTTGTCATCGTCGTCGTCGAAGCTCGATCGTGTTATTAATCTCGGGTCGGTCGTCGACTCGCTGTCGTTCACGGGACACACACGATCGGAACGACGCTCCCACGCGAGAAGGAATATTAAGAAGATGAAAAGGGGGAAAAGACCCAATCTAACGCTGAACTATAAACGCGAGCTGTATTCGGGGACTAGCAACTATTATTTAGGTGATATTGTTGTTTTGTGTTATGTCGATACGATTAAAATCGTGATGAAGTTTTTATTGATTGTTATAACAACCGGCGAACGATGCGGTGTATCTCTTTAGTTTTTTTTTTTTGTTTTGGTAGCTTTCGCATCTCGCTCGGCGCTGTGCTGTCTCTTTTTTTACGTTTTCGCCGCGTCGTTAGAACCGTTGCGCGTGGAAGATGCCGCAACGACAGAGAAAGAGAGAAGAAGAGGAGAAGAAACGGGAAGAAATCGAGGACCAGGTTTATGGGCGAAGGACACGCATACGTACGCACACACAGAAACACACACACACACACACACACACACACACACACCATACGCAAAGATAAATGTACGTACGCGCCCAGTGGCTCGGATGAGAAGAAATATTATAGAATACGAAATCATGGAAATCCCACCAGCGCTTCACACTGTTGGCCAGTAAAAACAAAAAAAAAAAACGTTAGGCTTAGTCGAGTCTGGAGGCTGATACCGGGTGTACTTTCGATTATTTAGTCAACGAAAACGGACATTGGACATGTTTCAGTCCGGCCACTGCGCAAACGAGACGCGCAAAGAATGCAATGAGAAGAAACAGAGAATTCACGGAACAGGAGAGGAAGTCGATAGCGAAACTCCAGTGAAACGATTGAACAACGCATGAAGCAAGACGACTGTATTATTACGCGAGCTACGGAGAGAAGAAATGAAACTGTGAATAGTAAGAAGCCAGTCGTTCGGACAGCCACCCTTCCAATGGACTCATTTTTCAAGTATTTTCTAAGCATGCTAGGTCTAAATGAACTATAGTGGTGTGCGTGAATCGTGGAAAGGACACGGACAAAAGAGGGAAACGACGAAAGATGATGATATGTAGTTATTCGTCGAGTAACGCGCCTCTCCGATGTACCGTGTTCCTTGTTTGATTTTAAATAAGTTGCGCCCTAAAGACTCGCGTACGTCGCGGCTAGAGTCTATTCGAAATGCCGTTGTACGAGTTACACGAATAGAAATATGCGACAGATACGGAAAAAAGAGGTAGAACTTAAATTACCTTCGGAATATTAATGTACTAGGACGCATCCAACGAAACGACAGGGCGGAAGTATGGACACGGGCATTGGAATGAAGTGCACAGATTCCAAACATGAATTAAAACTGTCAGCGAAGATCCACGCGACACGACATTAAAATACGGTTATGTATGTTATATTCGACACGAATCCAAGGCGACGATCCAGATGATCACGATCATTACGATGAAGATGACGATAATGGTGATGAATGAACGATGATGACGATAATGATGAAGATAATGATGATGATGATGACGATAGTAAACGATTATACCGGGCGTGTTGCTACCTATACTATTAGCATGACAAATTATGACTGGTCCCTAGTAACTCTTTACTCTTACGTTTGTCGCTTAGGTTTAATGATAATGCCGTTATCGGCGATGTCGATTTGTACATAGGGTATAATTATAATAATGATAATAATAATAATATCTATCGGTACGACGATATGAATGTATATGCGGGTGGTGATTCTGTATCCAAGACCGTAAGAACGAACCGAATGCGAGAAATAGACGAACAAAAATGAAACAAACGAGTTCTATGTCGCGAGCGTCAGAGGTAAAGAAAATTTATTCTGTGTCGATATTGCTTTCGTTCGTCACCGTAGTTGTTTCACTCTCCTCCTTCGCCTCTATCCCCCCCTTTCCCCACTCCGCCACCCCGGATCAAAAACGAACAGAAGTGTGTTTCTTACTGATACCACGCATTGTTGTTCATTCTCCTCGATAGAGTTCCCGCGAACTCGCGTATTCAGAACGGGTCTTCCAAAAAATATTGACATCCGGCACACTCGTTTCTTTTTTAAAAACAATCCATTTCTTTTTTCTTTCTTTTTTTTTTTTTTTAACTATCCGATGATTGTTTTAATCAGTCGCAGCCGTCTTGAAAAAAACACGCACGATCCTCTCGCAATCGGCAGCCGCCACTGCATTAATAATGATCTTGCGGTCCTCAATACGCACATCCGAGTGCTGTCTATTAGCAGTGTTCGCCTTCACGTCATTACCTTTTACTCGAGATTCTCCGCCCGAGGTCGGAGAACGTAAAAAGAGAAGAATAAATAAAGATTCGTGGTGAAAGAAAGAAAAAGAGAACAGTAAAGAAAGCTAGCCGTCAAAGAGTAATGATACAAAGCGAGAGAGAGTGAGAGAGATACGAGCGACCGAACGCCGTGAGGACAAAGTCCTCTTGAGCGTGGTTGTGACGAGCAAAAAATAGGGCGCCTGTAACACACGTGCTTCCTCCGTGCGTCGACGTTCGTCGAAAAAACGACACGCAAGTTAGCTAGGTGCACGACCCGTTCGTGGTATTGTTTGTGTACCCGCGGGAGACACGACCCGTGACGTCCTCGTCGTGGACCCGGGCAGAATTAGCAAAAAAAAATCACACACACACGGGTTAGTTTGTAAGAAAAAAAAATAAAAAGAAAGTGTGTCCTCGTGGTCGACGCGGACGTCCGAAGAAGAAAAAAAAACGTCGCTCCGAACTGAAATACACACACGGAGCGCGCACGAATAGTAAAATAAATTTTTGTCTACGATGGAACGTACACACATGAGAAGGGAGAACATGGGAAAACATAGGGAACAGCTCTATGCGCTCCTGTGGACACGCGTTTCCAAAAGACGAGAGAGAGACAGACAGATAACTAGATAGATAAACGTTCTTCTCGCTGTCCCACAGTCTCGCGTTGTACTTGAATTCTTTACAGGGACTAATTTTATAATAGTCGGAACCGACTTCTTTTTCCTGTCGGTTTTTTTTAATTTCTTTTTTCTTGTATTTTTTTTTTAAATACACGGTTGCACGTGCCACGTTCCGAGCATGAGATAGAGGACAAATGAAGTAAATAGCGTTTAAAATGTTGTACATATTATTAATTAATGATTAATATTATTATTATTATTATTATTGTATCGACTCGATAGTTTAATTGGATTAATCGATTATATCGTGTTAGTCGGCATAATTGTGGATTTAGTTTTTTCTTTTTTGTACGGTAGGAAAAAAACTATGGGAAAACGAATGGAAGGGACAGATATACGCGATCGATCGATCGACGGTGTTTGCGAACGATATACGACTACGACGACGGCGGCGGCGGGCCGGGAGATGAATTTGAGGTTGATATTTCACTTCCCGGGAACGCGTCCCGGTAAATTCCTATTATTTAAAATCGCATCGACGATCGAACGAAAAAGATGTGGGATTACATCGAATAAAGCAAAGTAAACAAAGAAAAAAAAAACAAGTAAAGGAAAACGTGTTTTGTTATACCGTAGCGCGTGATCATCGCGTTTCCGTTCGAACGTGTGTATTATCACCTCGATTATTCAATGCGGTTTTCGTTCTCGAGGGCATTCTTTTTCTTTTTTTCTTTTAATTATGTTACGCTCATTATAAATTCTTCGTACGCTTGTTTCTTTTATTTTAGTTTATCATCGTGTTATCCTTTTTTCTTTTTACCTCAAACGAACCGAAGATTTGTTTGGAATCCGTGTGAGATTTATCTTTTATTATATTTCTTCGTATTAACCACTGGAACGAGACCCTCACGGTTGAACCGATTACCTTTCACTTCGATATGACATTTCCGGGTTGTTTCACGGAAAACAAAGCATAGCAACGAGAACACATTCGTCGGAGCAGTTTTTAACCGACCGTTTGACGCACGGATCAAGCCCGATCCGATCTGTTATTTTTATTTTTTATTTTTTAACATGACGTTACAATCCGATTTGTAAACCGCGACTCAACGATTTTATAAGCTCGGAACAACCGGGCCGGACAGACTCGATCGATCGATCGATACTTGCGTCGTGAATTCTACGAAACAAAAAAAAAAACAACGTAACGAAAATAAAACGCGATGGCGTTCGTATTCGTTCGTGAAGAATTCAGACGAATGGGAACGCGTAGAGTCAAAAGACCGTGGGTATATTTTCGTGGGACGTGACCGTTCCCCGTCAGTTGCCCTCGCCGCGCCTGCCTGTGCAAACTACCGTTGCCTCGACAAATGTGTCTAATTTATTGACGATGCGATAACGAGCAGGACCTTTAAGCCGCGTGCGTGCAAGTGATAATTGAAAGGAAGATGCTGTGTATACGTGTGTGCATGCCCGAGCGTATGTGTGCGTGTGTGAGTGTTTGTGTGCATGCCTCTCAAAGAGGGTGAGCGCGAAAGACCGAGCAAACAAAAGAAAGGGGGTGAATGTCAGAGAGAAAGACAGACGAACAAAGAACCCGCGGGCGCATCTGGCACCGGATGCTCTTCGACGGAATCGCCGTTCTTTTTTCTTCGTCCGCGTGAAAAATCAGTGTCGTTCTTTGTCCCCCTCCCCCCACCTCTAAACTGAACGTTTGTATTTAGTGAATTCTTTAACCTCGATCACCGAGACGAACGTAAAGGAAAAGCGTTTAACACTTGAATCCGGACCGGGTGTGTGTAGTGTCTCTAACTCACGCGACGCGTTGATGTCACCGGGGGACACGTAAGTTTTGCTATATA